TCGCATTGAGATGTGTAAAACAGCTTTAAAGGATAAACAATCAGGTAATAAACACCCTGCAAAACAAACAGACCACTCCAGTTAAACCTTATAGGTCTCAGATTCGTCCCATTTAATTGTGGGTGCTTAACTGAGGCACCTCAGTTAAGTGTTTAGACACTCTGCGCTTATTTTGGAGTGAAAATGGAGAGAAAATCCACATGGGAGCTGGAATCGCTTTCTGGATCTGTCCTGTTCTGTTACATGCAGAAGGAGATGAGACTGAGTGAATTTATAGCTTTTAGACTTTGCTGAAAGTTAGATGGGATGGACAATAGCCCCTGATGTGTTACTCCATGAGTAGGGAGGACAAATAGCTTTGAGGCCATCCAGTTGTAGCATTGAGCCTGTGAGCTGTGTTTTGTGGAAGCTTAATACTAGTGCTGAAAGAAAAGGTGGTTTTCCTATTTTCAGTGATGGTTGGTTGTTGTATTTACTGTTGAGACATCCTAGCACAATTGCATTCTAGCATTATATATTGACAAATAAATGCCTTTTACACAGTGTAATAAATTAATACTGGTGAGCACATTCTCATTATAAATACACAAATAATAAAATGCATAGCTTAAAAAAATTTTTCCAGCATTTCTGGGAAAATTAAATTTCCTGTATATTTTATCTTAACAGAACAACAGCATAACACCTATCATTACCTCTTTTATTCTGGAATGTATTCATTTTGATTTCAAGGTCAAAGATCTGTATTTGTTTCTGGTTGTTCACACAGTACAACTTTTCTTTTTCTTTCAGGACCAATTTATGCTGAAATGATCCAGAACCTGCTTCTGCCAGTTCTTCAAAATAAGGAATGTAATTTGGTTCGATATAATGTAATTAATGCATTACCCAATACAGCAGATTCTCTCATAGGGAGAGCTGCACACATTGCTGTTCTCGATTCAGAAATATTTTTAGAAAAATTCTTTCTTGTTGCTGCCCTGAAATATTTTCAGTAGAGAAAAGCATTGTAAGAGACTTGGTTATTACCTCATTAACAGATGAATCAAATAATGTGTGGTATTAAAGTATAGCTGCAGCTGTATTTTAAGAGATATTTATACTTTTTATATGGAAGATAATTTATATCATCCACACTTAGGGCTTTTTAACATCAACTTTACTTTCTAGGTAATGTGGCTGTGCAATATTTTTTTATTTTGTTCTTTTTACTTTTCTATTACTTTTTCTTAATTTTGGGTACCTAATTATTTGGAAATTAAAGCACAGTGCGTACTTTTGGTTGGTTTATTATTGGCTCTTAGACTGCAGAAGTCAATGTTACTTGGCTAGATTTTACAAGAGGCTTTCGATGCCAAAATAAATTGGATTTTAAAATTCTAATAAAGTCTTACACGTTCAGTTGGCGTATTTTAGCACTGTAGGAAGTTTAACTGGAAACACAATGAGCTGCTAAAATACTGGATATTTGAAAAATACTGTATCTGTGGGTCTTGCAAAGACCACTACCTAATTGTCTGTTCAGATATCACTACAGCTTAACAGTTTTCTACGAAATCATTATCATCATTGTTAAATCTGTTACGCCTGTGGGAATATATTTTCTACTGATCTCAAAAACATGTTAGTTTACATACTCAATTTTATTACTGGAACTTCAGTTTTCAGAAGCAAATGGCAACTAAGGATTTTTGAATGTTTAATGATAGCTGCCTTCAAACAATTGGGGTTTTTCAAACTGTATTAAAATTGCTCCTTACTCTGTCCTTCAGACAAACATGGGCAGTTTTACATGGACTTCCTTGTATGTACGTAAAATAAGTAAATGTTATAAATTTCTGCAATACTTTTATGAATTTAAGCAATTTTTAAATATTGTTAAAATGTTTTATTGACTACAAAGTATTGTAAATATAAATACATCTTCAAACGGGACAATATTGTAAACTTTACCTGTTTAGTGATACAGATAAAATGTTTTTGATATACAGGAATGTTAAAGGTCTATTGACTTTCTACTGGTGCTGAACAGCATTAAGTTTGGTTTCTCCTTCCTTCCCTTTTCTCTGTTTCAAACAATAATTCACTAAAGGTGGGGGGGAAAGAGTTACATGTGCATTCACTAATTGTAATGAACATTTTTTTGAAAAATAGTAATTTGTTGTATAATGCATGTTTATTTTTAGCATTGTGTTATTGCATCTGGTGTTAATAAAATGAACAAATTACTCTAATGAAAGCAATTAAAGAAACTGAAATGTTCTGCTAATTACCAAAATTCTGGGGAGGCTTTTTTGTATATAATTAATAATTTTGTATTATTTGAAATTAATATAGCAATAATAGTTCATAATGAAGTGATTTTGCATTTGATATTGTTTGTTGTATAATACAGTCTTTGTATTTTTTTTTTCCTCTATAGCTTACAAGATGCTCAAATGAGCATCCAGAGTTTGGCAATGTACACACTTAAAAGAGTATTTTATGAGAGTTGTGTTAGGTAATTCCTTATGACACAAAGATACCTTTAATACATTCCCCACTATAACAATGTCTACTTTTATTAATAATTTTTCATTATGATGGTGCTACTAAGTTCTAAATATTTAAATTATGTTGTGACATCTCAGCTGTCATTTAACAGTATTTTAGTAGTTGGCTAGAGGCTAAATTCTGAATATCAGTTTAGGGAGCTGCTACATTTAGACAAGTTTCTTTGGTTCGGGTCACAATGATGATGTTAAACTACTCCAAGTACATAAATATTCTGATTTTTTGGTCACTATTGAAAAATGTCTGTTTTGCTGAGTCTCTATGGAAATCCAAAGTGTAAAGCATGCTTTTGTGATGAGCAAAGCAAAAATATCCTGCCAGGAATAGCCACTTCCTTCCTTTTTTTTTTTTTTTTTTAATTTGTTTGCTTTGCTTGTTTATAGTAGAGCCCATCCATTTAAGGAGTCTTGAATTTGGTTTGTTCTTTGAGGAAAATGGATGGTGCAGGAAATCATGTGATATTTGCATGTAAGTTTATCAAAGAACAAGGCAAGTGAAGAGAACATTAAATTCGTTTTATCTCCCCTAATTTGTATTGCCCAGTGCAGTCCATATGTGGTCTGGTAGCCCTCTCAGTACTGTAGCTTTTGTGGGAGCTGTTTGACATCTTGATGTCCCTAAGGCATGTGCCGCAGTGAGTGATGTGGTGACCCCAACGTGTCCTTGGAGCATATGAAGTTCATATGTGCACTTACAGACTGTATGGTACACTTTAAGTTGTTCTCTGAACATGCAGTGTTTGGGACAGCTGTGTATGTGTTGCATGTCATTCTCGCCCTACTCCCGCATATTTCTGCTTTCTGTTTACTAGATGGAAATACGGACTCTTACATACCTAATTCAATGTCATCTGATGCAGCAGCAGCTATAAAGTGCTCCATCCCACCCCTCTTCTGTTTGAATCGGGGCTTCATCGTCCTGTAGTGACAGTGACCTCTCCTTCATGCAGGTATCCTACAGCTGCTTGAAAGAGAATTACGCTGCTTACAGAATGAGACATAAAAATTAAGGTTTTAACATTCCTTTAGAAAGCTGTCAGTCTCTTGTTCCCTGAGGGCAGTAAGCTGCTACTGTTATTTCACGAAGCTCTCAGCAGTATTATTAGGATGTCACTGCATAAAATGAGATAGTGTCTGAACTTTTGTTTGCATGTAGTATATATAAATTAGTTCCTTGGTTTGTATTTGAATCTTCCATCAAAATTTAAACTTTCTGAGCCTATAGATCTACAAATTGCTACTAATTTGGGGAAAGAGTTCATGTTCTACTGTGGAAATCACCAGGCTTTGCAGCAGAGCCAAGAGATTGCATGTTGACGGAAAACATACTCTCCAACCACAGAACACCCTTCCTTCCAAGCCAGTCTTATTTGCAGAGAGCCCTGACCAGGTGTGGTGTTCAGCTAACCGAGCTTCTTGACATGGTCAGAGAGGAAGAGGGGGAGACCTTCGGGCAGAATCATCATGCTTGCTGCCTGGGGCAGTGCTGGTTGTGGTGCTTTCCAGATGGCCCCCATGGCCAGTTTACATTCAGGTCATCTGCACTGACCTGCTGGAGTTTGTGCTAGCACCAAGTCTTTTATTCCCTGCTTTTTAGAACAGCAAAGCAAAACACAGTGTTGTTTGAGTCCTCCTTGCAAGGGAAGCTACAGTGTAAGAGATAAATGATCAGTAAACAGAGGGAGGAAAACAAAAAAAAGAGAACATTGCATTTAATCACAAAGTAGAAAACTCCTGTGGCATGAGCTACATTTTTATTTATTGATGTTCAGATTTATTACTTCCTCAGCCACGAGATCTAGAAATACATTATTTACAAGTTAAAATTGAATTTTGCATTTTTACAGCAATACAATAAATGAAGACTAGGGAAAAAAAAAAAAGATGGTTTTAAGACCTCAGCTAATTTCAGGTGGAAGAACAGTGCCTAATCAATTTTACATTGCTATTTCACCCTTACCCTTTGAGATTGCACATAAGCATGATTTTTCATGGATTGTGTTAAGATGTTTAGGAACATTGATCTGGGGGTTTTTTACTTGCTGCTTTGGGGCAGAAGAGTTTTGGGGTTTTTTTTTGTTTTGTTTTTTTTTTTTTTTTTTTCCTGCACGAGCCACCACTCTTCCTCTTTTATTGTCTCTGGTCTAGAGGCCCGGCATCTTGCTGTTAGAATAAAGTGATTTCCCATGGTTTGGCCTCTAATGTCCAATTAACCATGTTATAAAAAGCTGACCGAGAAAATGTCGCCCGTAAGGCGGTTAAATTCAATCGCTTTCGGTGTGCAGGCAGTGCCAGACGCAGTGCAATAAGCTCAGCGGAGCGTGGCTGCCGTTCGCTTTCCCAGATTTACTTAACCAAAGGCGGCGTGACGGCCGGTGGGGGCCGCCCCGCGTGGAAACGCGTTTCCCGCCTCTCCCCCCTCAGGCGGGGCTCGCGGGGGCGGGGCTCGCGCGGCCTCCCCGCCTGCGCCGTGCGCATGCGCCGCAGCGGGTGCCGGCTCGGCGGGGCCATGGCCGTGGCTCTGGCTCTGGTTCTGCCGCCGCGGCTGCTGCGCGGCGCGCCCGGGGCAGCGAGTAAGAAGCCGGGCGCGGGGCGGGAGGGACTTGGCTTTGCTGCTGAGGGGCTCCCCAGCTTCTCCTCCCCTTCCTCACGCGGCGGGGCCGGGTTGCGAGCGAGCGAGGGAGGGAAGGGGCGGTTCCTGGCCGGCGCTGGGGTTGCCGAAGGGTGCCCAAGATGGCGACGGGTGACCCACCCCCCGGCCCCCCCCTCCGCCTTCTCTGCCCGCGGCATCTGTTAGAGGCGGCGGGGTGTCACAGCTTTTCCCCTCCCGCATTTCGTTACAGGTTTCCTGACTTTTTTCTTCTTTTGCCTGTAGAGATTAATATTCTCCCTTATATTGCAAACCTACCGTTCTCAGGCCTCACTATCCTTTCCGGAGGTTTTCAGTTCCTGTCGTTGCTTCGAACTTTTAAACAGTACTAAAAAGTCGCGGTTTAATGGTCGTAGATTAGCTGGAGGGAACTTACTGTGGCGTTGGAAGTTACTGGACTGTGACCTTTGAGGAAATTCACGTGATTTGTTCATGGAGAAATCTAGGCTGGAGGACAAATAAAGTAGCCTGAATAACTGTACGTCCCACACGCACGCCTAGCTTAGGCTGTTCCATTGGCCTGCAGGTCAGACCCCTTCCCCATCAAAAGTTGAGATTTCTTTTATGCTATTGATAGGACTGTTCTTGAAACAGACCAGTACAGTATATGTTGGTAGAAGAGCTGGGGAGACAAAAAAAAAGGATGTTAGATGTTTGTGGGTCCTCCAGGCTCTATCTGGCCATTAGATTCCTGGCAAGACTTGCCTGATGCTCCTGTCCTCCAAGCCTCCCGGTGACTGCCCAGCTCCCACTGCATGAATGGCTTTGTTATGATAAATCACTGTCTCTGGGCCACTTCAAAAGACTGGGTATTGTGGATGTTGGCAGTGCAGCAACTTGAGATTTTCAGCTATATAATTAATAAATTGGATGGTGCTGTGACTGCCTGTAAAGGATGAGGGAGTCAAAGATCAGTTTGTAGAATGTGGTTTACTGACAAAGCTGATTATTCATCTCATCTTTTTCAGAGGTACTTAATGTTGAGCTTCTGTCACCTCTGTGTCAAGAGGAATATATTTTGGTCAATAATATCAAGTATTGCAAATACGAAAATGTATTTTGCCTCTTTTCTCCTGACTGAGATCATTAATTTCACATAAGTACCTCAGTCTGATTTTTATTTCAATTTGGGCTAGAATATTAGTTTTAATTTCGTTTTCTAGCTATGTTCTCTTTCAGCTTGCTGAAGAATGACAGGATGCTCTGCAGGAGTAGAAAGATCTAACGTTTACAGAAAGATTAGATTCTTCGCTGTTCATAGACCGTTATGCCTTGCTTAAAAAGAAAAAAAATATACCTTTGGGGCATTGAGAACAGTTGGCAGGCATAATACAGTTCATGTGACTGTAGGGTTTAATCTTAAGGCTGTGGTATTTTAAGATGAATGAATATGCTGATTCTGGGAATACAGGTGGATTGTTGGTTGGTGTATATTTAGGTGAGTCAAAGCCACACTGCTTAAGAGGGTTTCCCGATACAGTCTCTTCATCAAGGTAGAATAATAGTTCTTTCAAGGGGGGATTTCTGTTTGAATCTTCCTTCTTAAGAAAAGTCAGAGCTGCTTTAGACACATGTCCATAGCTAAAATATTTTGGGAGGGTAGTCTGTGCTCACTGTGGACATTTGTCTTCTTAAGCAAATGCAGAAATATCAGTCATTTTGAGAGATCTTCCTAAGTAATTTTTGACTTGTTTCTGACTCCTGGATTATTTATGATTTAGGATATCTGTGCACCTTGGTTTTTATACTACTTGAGAGAACTTTAGATATAGATATTAATAGGCTTTCTCCTACGTTTACATTTTAAAAAATGTTAGTAGAACTTTAAATGAAAAAAGTTTATGCTTGTAATTAAAGCATTTGCATACTGTTACATAATTGAACTTAAATGTGCTCGTAGTTTGTCCTGCTTTTGACCACCAGCTGAATTATTTTACCATCATAAGGGAAGCCCAACTATTCTCTACCAACATTCTGGAAAACCTGTTACTAAGGGAACAATGTTTTATTTTTTAAAACATTTCTTTGGGAAAGCAGAAGCTCTTTCTGACTCAAAAGCTGCTGGAAATGAGCCAAGACCTGGAAATCAGCAGGCTTCCTGGGGGAGGTTAGGACTTCTCCAGGAAAACAGAATGTACTGGTCTCTGCCAGCGTAATTACTATTTAGAGTCTAAAATACAGGGAGATAACAGTGAAGATAAGTTCAAACAGTTTAAAATAACACTGTTTATGTGAACTGAGTTATACAACTAACACAGTTTTGCCTGCATATGTTTCCAGGGCCAAAAATAATTATCTGTGCTGATTTCTTAGGTGTTCGTGAGTTGTATGTTAAGCTAATGTGTGGAGTTTGTTTTCCTGTCCTCTGCTCCCTAGTTTCTGAATTGAGGATTTTCCAGAGATGTTCTGAACAATCATGGAGCTGCTCAGTATTAAATACTCACATTTATGCTACACGTGTCTGTTTGTTTAATAGGGTCGTCTCTGCTTTGCAGCTTTCTGAGGAGCACCAGCTCTAAGACAGGAGGAAGATCTGAACCTGCTAAGCAGTCACTTAAGAAACCGAAGTTACCAGTAGGTCGATTTGATGAACCAGAGGAGTCCAGTATAGAAAGGGAACCCCTGGAGAGTAAGTCATGTTTTTCAGAAATTGAAAGCCATTTTTTAAAGGCAAGCCCCTGAGATGCAGTGCTGAGATCAGTTTAAGAAGAGGGGTAGGCATTCAGCACCCTTCAGAATCACTTTCTGAGCTTAATGGTTCTGAAAAAAACAGAGAAAGGGCAGCAGGCACAATTTGTGGCAAATGGTGTACAAGGGGAAAAAGTCTTTAGAACAAGGGTGGTCAAACATTGTAATGAGTCACCCAGAGAATCTGTGATCCCTTTCCTCTTGGAGATACTCAGATTTGCCTGGCTGTCCTGACCTAACTACAGCCTTGCTTGGAGCAGGTTTGGGGCCAGATGTCTGCCAGAGGTCCCTTCCACTGTAAACCATTGGATGATTCTGAGAAATGTAGCTGGTATTGGTCTATTATAGTACAGCTGTAAATGGTGGTAACTCATGAGAGCACCAGCTACATTTTATTATCCAAAAAGCCTCTTCTGTTTCTTAGTCCAGAAAAAACTTGTGATTCATGCTGTATTTTGTGGTCAGTCTTGCAGGTAGTGTTTTGAAAAGCAACAGCAGATACTGAATTTACTGAGCCACTCAGTGGGGTCCAGGGAGATCTAAGGAACTGCTCTTTGCGTTGCATTCCAGTGACCTTAGTGGGGCTGCATTTGGAGAACCTGACAAGATTGAGGCAGAGATATGTCACTGCTGACCACAGCTTTATCTCAGAGAGGAGAAAGACAGAATCTCTTCCTTCTTTTTAATTATCCATCTTCCCTTAACTACAAGTGCTAGTCAGGCTTTATCTTATTCACTGTAGTGTGATGTTCTGCTAGTGTTTACAGGTAGTGATAACCCATGTTTGTCTATTTCGACACCTCTAGGACAAGCTTTCTTAATATATTGATAGATTACTATGAATATCCAGCTGACAAAGTGACTGAAAAATTATAGTATCATCTCCAAAACGGTTGCAAACAATTTCAGATTGTGACTCATTTGAGAACTGATTCATGGTTTGGAGTTACTGTTCAAGCAACTATTTAATTCTTGTCCTTTTATTCCCAAGAAAATAAATTCCATCACTGCTTCATTTAAAACAAATGCATAATCATTATCTTTTTCTTTTTGCTTAGGTGTTCTAGGTTTAGAGCAAAACTCAAGGTTTCTTTTGGCTTTAAATTTCATTGTACCTGTATATTTTTTACATGTAACACCAACAGAAGTTTATTAGAATGTTGACTGCCCATTGTCTTACCAGGAAAAAACGTAACGGGTTTAAGCTGGCTATTTGAATTCCCACTGCTGTGTAGCTATCATGAAGAAGTCTTGAGCTTCTGCATCAACTGTCAGCACATCGGTAGTGCTTGGATATTGGCATGGTGACATCTACAAAATAATATTAGATGCATTTGTGCTCCTGGTAACTGCCAGATGTGCTCAAATACTGACATTTCCTATCCTGATCTGCATGACTTTTGAAACAGGCATCCCAGTATGTCATCATGTATAGCCTGTAGCTACATGAATCTCCCTACATCACTGTCCTTTTTGTCTGCTCTCCAGGATTTCTGTTGGTGTCTTTTCTCATTTTCAACCTTGCTCCTCATTACTTGTGTTGCCCACCAGGGCTCAGTTAGGGGTACAACTGAGCGAGCCCCGAGTTACACGTGTGTGAGGCTCTGGAGAAGCAGTGTGGGAAGGGGATGTGAGAGGTACAGTGAACTTCAGGGAGCCCTGCAGGCTAGTGCAGGATGAGAAAACATTCATTTAGGATGATGCTGTGCCAAAAAGTACTTCATGGCTTTCCAGTGCTTAGTGGGATGGCTTTGTGCAGCATGGCTGGCCTGAGTTACTGCTCTTAAGAGACAGCCCCAAGTAAGGGAGCACCGAGTGGCATAAGGGTGTTGACGGTGAGGTGCAGAAAGCTCTGTTGTGCTCGGGGAGGTGGCATTACCTGGTAGGGTGCTAGGGAATAGAAGCAGCACTGCTAATGTGTAAGCATAGCGCGTCACTTACCAGAGAGATCTGAAAGTCCGGCTCATATCCCACTTACAAAGAGTCTCCTTCTCCTGACGGGGCATCACAGTGACTTGGCAAGCTCAGGTTAAGTTTTAGAAGGCAAAAAGTCTAATTTTAACTATTTAGGATTTTATAATACCTCCTATGAGTGTGGTATGTAGTCTGACGTTGGTAAATATCAACATGCTATTTCATGAAAAACATGCCAGCATCCATGAAAGCATGGTGTTTTAAATGCAAGAAGAGTAGAATCTTGACTAAAATTCAAGCTAAAATTAAAACCAGAGTGCTTAAAATTAGAGACCTAAACAAACACAGGAAGTGACTTGGTGTTTTAGACGTAGTGAACATATGTACAGCATACCTGAGTGACGCAAGTTCTCACTATGAATTTATGAGAAACTGTGGTGCTTTAGTGCCTTTGGACATTGAGTTGCTTTTTTTATTTGCATAACTGAATATGATCATTTGTTTCACTGACTGTAGTCAAACTCCCTAAAATTACTTTTGTATGACTCTGGGAAATGCTTAAAGCAAGGTCGCCTTTAAAAACAAAAGAGAATTGATTTTGAAAATGAAATTAGGAGGCAAACATAGTAGATGGTGACATCTTTATGTTTGTCAACATTACAGGCCTTTTAATGAACATTCCCTGTCATTTTAGAATTCCCTGATGGAATCAATCCTGCTACAAAAGAGAGGGGTGGACCTAGAGGCCCTGAGCCTACACGTTTCGGAGACTGGGAGAGAAAAGGACGTTGTATAGATTTTTAATGTATAAATGTGTATTGGCAATAAAATATTTCTGGTGGTTGAGAAATACAATGTACAGAAAAATCTCACCTGGATTTGTTGTAAAGCTTCTTGTTTCTGTCATGCTTCTGATTAATTGTTTGAAGGATGTTATGTAAATAAACCTGACGCTGCAACTCAAATTTTGGAGCTGTTATTTGCTCCCTGTGCACCTGATCTTTAATGCTATTTATGCTATGCAAGTATAAAGGCAAGTATAGTGATGTGATGTTGGCAGTCGGGATGATGTACACAGAGATATATAAGGGCTTGGATTTCTTTATCTGTTTAAACATTTATGTAGTCTCTTAAAAGTGCTGAAAGCTTTGCAGTTCATGAACTGAGATACCATTCATCAAAACTACAGCCACCTGCGAGGACATCAGTGCTTAGAATCACAGAATGGTTTGGGTTGGAAGGGACCTTAAAGATCATCTAGCTCCAACCCCCCCGCCATGGGCAGGGACACCTTCCACTAGACCAGGTTGCTCAAAGCCCCGTCCAACCTGGCCTTGAACCCTTCCAGGGAGGGGGCAGCCACAGCTGCTCTGGGCACCCTGGGCCAGTGTCTCACCACCCTCGCAGTGAAGAATTTCTGCCTTATGTCTAACCAAAATCTACCCTCTTTCACCTTAAAGCCATTACCACTTTTCCTATCCCTACACTCTCCAATAAAGAGTTCGCCCCCATCTTTCCTGTAGGGCACCTTTAAGTACTGGAAGGCTGCTAGAAGGTCACCCTGGAGCCTTCTCTAGGCTGAACAACCCCAACTCCCTCAGCCTGTCCTCACAGGAGAGATGCTCCAGCCTGCTGATCATCTTCGTGGCCTCCTCTGGGCCCACTCGTGCAGGTCCACGTCCTTCTGATGCTGGAGGGCCCCAGAGCTGGACACAGCACTGCAGGTGGGGTCTCACAAGAGTAATTCCGAAGAGTAATAACAATTTGAGTGCAATCACCCAGCCAATTTCTTATCCACAAGGTGGTCCATCCATCAGAGCCATGTTTCTCCAATTTAGAGACAAGGGAGTTGTGTGGGACAGGGTCAAATGCTTTGCACGTGTCCAGGTAGATGGTGTCAGTTGCTCTTCCCTTATCCATCAATGTTGTAACCCCATTGTAGAAGGCCACCAGATTTGTCAGGCACAATTTGCCCTTGGTGAAGCCATGTTGGCTGTCACCAACCACCACCTCCTTTTCTGTGTGCCCTGGCATAGTTTCCAGGAGGATCGGCCCCATGATCTTGCCAGTCACAGAGGTGAGACTGGCTGGTCTGTAGTTCCCCAGATCTTCCTTTTTTCTTGTAAAAATGGGACTTACGTTTCCCCTTTTCCAGTCAGTGGGAACTTCACCACACTAACACACCTTCTCAAATATGATGGATAGGGGCTTAGCCACTTCATCTGCCAGTTCCCTCAGGACCCATGGATGCAGCTCATTAGGTCCCATGGACTTGTGCACCTTCAGGTTCCTTACATGGTCTTGAACTTGATCTTCTCTTATGGTGAGCAGTTCTTCATTCTCCCAGTCCCTGCCTTTGCCTTCTGTGACTTCGGTGGTGTGGCTGGAGCACTTGCTGGTGAATACCAAAGCAAAAAAGTCAACGAGGACCTCAGCCTTCTCCATGTCTCAGGTAACCAGGACTCCTGTTTCCTTCCAGAGGGGGCCCACATTTTCCCTGGCCTTCCTTTTATCACCCACGTACCTACAGAAGCTTTTCTTGTTGCCCTTGACATCTCTGGCCAAATTTAGTTCTGTCAGGGCTTTGACTTTCCTAAACCGATCCCTGGCTGTTCATGCAGTTTCTCTGTTTCCATCCCACCTGTCCTTGCTTCCACCCTCTGTAGGCTTCAGTTTTGTATTTGAGTTTGTCCAGGAGCTCCTTGTTCGTCCACTCAGGCCTCCTGGTGTTTTTGCCTGACTTCCTCTTTGTTGGGATGCATCACTCCTGAGATTGGAGGAGGTGATCCTTGAATATTAACCAGCTTTCTTGGGCCCCTCTTCCCTCCAGGGCTTTATCCCATGTTACTCTGCCAAGCAGATCCCTGAAGAGGCCAAAGTCTGCTCTCCTGAAGTCCAGGGTAGTGAGCTTCCAGCACTCCCTCCTCTCTGCCCTAGGGATCTTGACCTCCACCATTTCATGGTTGCTGCAGCCAAGGCATCCCCCACCAGCCCCTTCTTGTTGGTAAGAACAAAATCCAGCATAGCACATCCCCTCATTGGCTCCTCTATCACTCGGAGAAGGAAGTTATCATCAACGCATTCCAGGAATTTACTGGATTACCTGCTGTGTTGTCCCTCCAACAGATACAGGGGTGGTTGAAGTCCCCCATGAGGACCAGGTTTTGTGAATGTCAGGCTGCTCCTATCTGTCTGTAGAGGGCATCATCCACTCAGTTTTCCTGGTTGCATGTCCTGTAGCAGGTTCCCACTATAATGTCACCTGTCCCTGCCCTCCCTGTAATCCTGACCCATAAACTCTTGGTGGGCTCCGCATCCACCCCCTGGCAGAGCTCCATGCACTCCAGCCGGTCACTGACATAGAGGGTGACCCCCACTCCTCATCTCCTCCCCTGTCCATCCTACATACAGAACGTACCCTCCATTCCAACACTCCAGTCACAGGAGCCATCCCACCACGTCTCTGTGAGGCCAATGAGATCGCAGCCCTGCAGGCGTGCACGCGTCTCCAGCTCCTCTATTCCCCATGCTGCTTAGCTGACCTTTGGCGCAGTGGCTCATTGGGATAATCCCCTTTCATGGAGAACCACCCGTCTGTCTCCGTTGGAGTGGGTTGGGGTTTCTGTCCTGTTTGTGGAGAGGGGACAGAAAACTTTGCTTTACCTCATCTCAGACTGACAGCTGTAAAGGGCACGTTGGAAATGGAGGGTTAATTCTGCGAGGGTCAGCTCATGGTTGCAAGTAGTGCAGGGGTGCTCTACATGCAGTTTCAGAATGCTGCTCTTTATCACCTAGTTTATTAGATGCTATTTGCATTTTCTTGTCCTTGATAAATGGAGATGCCTCTTTGAAAACTGGCTAAATGCTGCTTGGGGAAAAATAACTTCACTTTCTGACACCTTATGGTCAAAAGGGACTAATTACCTTAGATGATCTAATATTGCATTGATCTAATAATCTTAAAACTAAGTAATCTGCCATTGACCTAAGCGTCTTTCAGACTGAGCTCAATCTTCATTCAAGAATTTGCCTAGTTGTAAATATTGTAGTAGAGTGCAAATCTACCATTTGTGGGGGTAATTATTAATAACTAAGCTGTCATTATTAAAATATGTGAACATATGCTCTATTCATTTCTGTGCAAGCTCTTTTTGATAGCCTAAACAAATGGATCTTCTCTAGTCTTCAACTGTAAATTTTTTTCTTCAGCCCTTTGTGTTTCCTTCCTGGTGTTTTGCTGATTTTTCAACCTTTTCTCTTTTACTCTACACGCTCCAGCTTATATATTCACAATTCCTTTTAGCTGCTACTGCCACCAGAGTAGGCATTAAAACAGAATAAAAGTTTCTGCGAGGGCCCGGGACAGTCTCCCCTTTTCTGGCCTACATTTCTTTTTCCTATATAGATGTTTTTGCCTTTTGCTATGCCAAAGCAAGTTGTACCTGAATGAAAGTCAGCTTCATGACTTCGGTTGGTTTGCGTTACTCTGGCTCTGTGTAAGAGTGCACAGCTTTGCCCAGTTCTGCCTTTTGCATGATTTTATTAGATCATTAAAGTGTGTTAGTCCTATCACAAACCTGTCCGACCTCCCTAGAACCCACCTGACTTGCAGCCAGAGGGGCAGCTCCTCACTGAAATCCGCTGGTTTGCACACCCAGTGTGCATTGTATCATGCCAGTTGTGACATAGTGTCATGCCAGTTGTGAGTTAAGACTTTTGACTCACGGCGATGATGCCCTACAAAAGTACCGTTTATCAACCAAATACCTTGCTGAAGAGCAAAATGAGGTTTACTTAGGCTTCTTTTTCATAAAAGTTGTTAACTAGTGGTAAATACATTTTGAACCTTTAATCTTCTATAAATTTAAATACTGCAGCAAGGTTTGGATATTGGAAAATTGGTCTGCATTTATTCTTGATTAATTCTAGTTTCCCTTCTAGTGCAACAGCTACATTTTCCCAAAACCTATTGATATTTTCAGTTACCTAAGGATATGCTAGGTCAGCTATCTTTAATATATGCTGTTTATTAAAATACTTATTTCTAGTAATGCTTTGCCTCTTCAGTTGCCAGTGGGTTGGAAAATACTTCATCAAAAAATACACCACCTTTTCAAATAGGAAGCAGGAATCTGAATTGGAAACTTCTGCCTTTTCTGCATCTTCATTAATAGGCTTAACGTATTAATTAGTGAAGGGGTAACAGTATTGCAGTTATTTATTTTTGAATTCTAAATCTTAGTCTCCTTATCTATGGATAGTTGTATGAGTTCATTATCTTCTCTTATCAGCTTTTGCCCTTCCCAGCCCACCTTTCATGAATTTTTACCTAGTTCCGCTTCTTGGTGTTCCTGATTTTGAATTTTGAGCACAGATGGCAGCCGCAGTCCTCCCTGGCTGCAGAACTGCGCCTTTTTGATTTTGCATATAAAGAACAGGTCTCGCTTTTCCAAGGTTTTGTCTATGTTTCAGTCAGTTCTCTTCAGCCTCTGCCTGCCGTGTGGTGAAGGGCTGCCCCGCGTGCCGTCGGGGCCCCGGCGCCTCATGCTGCCGCTGTGGGAGCCCCGGCGGGGCCCAGGCACTCCCTGCCCGCCCCCCTGGGGTGCCTGCGTTGGGCAGGTGCGTCTGAGAGCACGGTCTGTACCAACAGGACAAACTACCTCACAAAGGCGGGGATTTTGCTTTCTTCCAAAAAATAAAAAGGCTCTTGCTAACCTCTGTTGTAAATAGCTGTCAAGGAGTTGGCTCTCAGGAAGTAGTGGATTCCACTTCAGTCTTGAGGAGGGAGCTTCAGGCCCTTTTTACTATCTGTCAGACCAGGGTCAGTAACCACCAAGTGTTTGCTTAATTTGGTTGGGGAATGTGTCAGTCAGAGATAAGAAACTGAACATTTGGGCAAAATAACCCCTAACAGCCAAAAAGTGAATGGCAAAGGGCCTTTTTGTGTGGTCTGGCAATCTGGCAT